GAAGTGTAAGATTGAGGAGAATTCATTTTTTGTACGAAAATTGCAAACAATATGATAATGAAACACAAACAGTAAGTGAATGTAAAAAATGAATTTTTGACAAGCTAAAAATTAAAGAAATAAACAGAAATAAAAAATAAAAAAAAGAGTTTACTTTTGTTAAACAATCAATACTAGCTCAGATAAGCCCAATAAATAAATAAAATCTTAAATTAATAAAACATTAATTCGCTTGCCGAAAATGATAAGAATTTTACTTTAAAATGAATACAAAAAAAGGTGAACTTTTTTTTATTTTTTTTTTTCAAGTTTTGTTTCTTTTTTTTTTTTTAATTTGTAACTACTTCAGGAATACACAATGGACACTGACAAAATGCATGAATATGAATCATATCCATTAAATCCGAATCAAAGGTTTTTTATTCATAATTTTTTTTTAATAGATAGCGAAAATGCGGCCACAGTAGCTGAGTGCACAGCTAAAAATTCAAGGGTTTGAGTCTTAGCTAAAATTTAACCTTGAAATTTTAAAAATTTTGTTTACACCTTAATTTTTCAAAACGCCATCATCACTCGCTAAGGAAGTACAATCATTTCGCTTATATTTCTTACTTGAAATGAGTAAATCCACCAGCTGTTCGGAGGCAGTATTAGAATAAGCCGTAGATACTACCATTTATTGGGGAAAGCCCAGAGATGCACACAACAAATTGAAGGAGGAGCTCGGTCGAAAATTGCTTCAGTGATTACAAAGCACCAATTATATATAAATAACATGTATGCGACTTATTTATGTTCTGTTAATCTGTATATGAGTTTTCCTTGAATTCTTCTTAGTGCTACATTTTTCTCTTTTTATTTTGGTTATGATTTTCTCATAATGATTTTATTTTCAAAGGACCCCATCGCTTGTGCTTATATTGTAGTAGATCTATTACAGCAATGTTATGTATTAAAAAAAATTAGAATTTAAATAATATTAGCCAAGTTTGGTGATGCTTAGTTGCCGCTAGCGCTCTTGTAAAACTCTTTACACAGTCAGCCGAACTTCAAACAAATTTATTGGCAGTAGGAAGCTTTGTTAATATTTATTTTAAATCTTTTACTGTTTGCTTTTCTTTTCCTTCTTCAACCGGTTTTTATTTTTTTTTTTTGTGAATAATTTCTTGCTCTTTACACTCCTCAATCTAGTTTTAGTGTTTGCTTCCTGCCATTTGCTGCACTTATGCATATATGTATGCACGTGTATATGTATGCCCATGTATGCTTGTATACATAAGTGCAATTCTCAGATGGACAGTGAAACAATAAACTTAAAGAACCTAATAGCTACTTGGTAAAAAATTTGAAAGCTTGCATGTTTACCATACTTAGCAGCATCAGGAACTGCTGAAATATGCCAACTTCTAAGTGGTTTAAACTACTTTTTCCCGCCGCACCAATGGAATAGTCACTTGGTACCACATCTAATTTCTCAAGCGGAGCGCACTCCCAAGCTCTACCTAATACATTCGTAAGGTAGGATCATCTAGCGGCCTGGTTGTTTGTATGAATTGAATATTTGTTATACAACAAAGAAAAATGGTCGAAGTGACAGCTGTTTCGGAGATCACCAACGGATCCTGATTTAACAGGCGAGTGTTCTACCACTTTTTCTATTCCTAATCATTCTCTATGGTTCTTCTTCTGTAAGAATAGTTCATTTTTGGAGAACCAGAAACCACCTGTTAAGTACAAATTACTTTTTGTGGGAACCGTGAAGGTCCGAGTTGCAGATATTTATCTGCCGCCAGTAAATACGTAAACCTGTGGCTTTTGAAAAATAGACTGGAAAAATTTTTATGTCGTAAAAATGCTTAGTTCTTAAACAAACTCCTCCTTTTTTTCTAGATATATAAGTATAGGGTTAACTATTTTACGGTTCTCAAAGAAAAAATAAAAAAAAATGTTTAAAATTAAGCGGGCGGCTTGGAAAGCAGTACCCAAGTGTAATCAGTAGGAACTTTTTTTCATACTGAAATCGCAAAGTTTGCCTAATTCAACAGTAAAGTAACAGTATTTCACAGCACCATCTGTCGCGTTGTTTAACTAGCTTTACCTCTGTTAGAATTCTAAATACAATTTCAATTATTGATAATTGACTGAAAAACAGCAAAGGAGAAAATAACGCCAACTGCAGAACGACGTCAACGTCAGTACAAACACCTTTAATATATGCATATATAAGTATGTGATAAACTGTATTGAGCGCTAAATTGATATGAGCGAAAATACACAAGAAATTAATTTCAAGCAAATAATGAAATATAAAAACACTGAAAAAAAGATTTTTTTTTACAAATATGTATGAGCGTGACTAACTGTGAGGCAAAATAGCGTGTTACTTCAAGACAGGACTTGATTTGAATCGCCGCATGACAAAGTGAAAGTGTTGCTCAGAAAAAGACGAGAGAGAGAGAGCAGAGAAAGAAAACCCCCCAAAAAAATAAGAATAAAAAATAAAATTGACTTCCAGAAAAATATATACAAACAACAAGCAACACAGAGTAACTGAAAGAATATAGAACAACAACAAAAAAAGAGCAAAATTATATGCTCAATGACAAAATCTAAGCAAATACAACAACAAAAAACTACAGAAACTTAATATATAGCACGTGAAATGCACGTAAAATCACAGATAGAAATACAAAGTATAAATCAAAAACGAAAACTAAAATAAAAATAATTAATTATGGGCCTTAAATTAAGAAATTTGGAAATGTAATGTAAAAATTGTAGAAAAAAAAAACAAAAAAAGAATATACAAATAAATGTTAAAAACTATAATAATTAATAAAAAAATATTAAATAGAAAAACAAATTAAATTTAAGCTAAATAAAAAATTATAAATAATAGATAATTAAATTAAACAAAACGAGCACTAAGTAGAAAGTCATAAAAAATAAAAAATTAAATAATAACAAATATTAAAAAAAAATTATTTGAAATCAAGATAGACAATTTAAAAAGAAAGAACAACAAAAACACTTATTTGTAATTTGCCCTGCAAATACAATTATTACAGAAAGTAAAAATAGCACAGTAAAACAACAGGAAATTTGAAAAAATTATGTAAATAAAAAACAGTAATGCTCAGGCAAAAAAAAATATACTAAAACATAATACAGAAAACAACAAAAAATAATAACGAAATTTTTTAGTTAAAAATCTACAATAATAAAGTCACTAATTTACAACAAATTTTAAATATAATTATTATTAAAATAATATCAAAAAATGTTAAAACCGTTAGCCTCTATTGCTAACTACATTAATCTTGTAATATAATTATTTATAAATATATTTCAAATAAATAAATCAATAAAAAAAATAATTTAGTTGTATATGGAAGAACTAAGTCAAAAATTTTTTCCAATATTAAATAATAAAAAATTATAAAATTTATAAAATTCAAAAACAAAACAATAAAATTTAATAAATCAACTATAGATAAACAGTAAATAAAAATAGTATTAAAATTAGAAAAAAAAAAAATAAAATTTATTGGGAAAAACAATTCTGCCTAGTATTTTGGGTCAAAGAATATTTATTAAATTTAAAAAAAATGCACCACCTAAAATTTATTAATGATTTAACAAAAAAAGCTAGAAAAACAATTGGCCGGTGACAAACTGTGGACTTAGATAAGAAACAAATGAAAAGTATTAAAAAAATATAGAAATAATAATTCGAAAATATGGATGGAAAATATAAGTAAAAACACAAGAGAATACAACAAAACATTCTACAAAATTGAGCAATAAACAACAGAAAGTCCCAATGAAAAATAATTGTACAGGAAAAAATACCAAACAAAATTAAAGAATTATAAAAAAAACCTAAAAATAAAGGAAATTATATTAAAAAATTAAAAAAAATTAAAATAAAAGAGAAGATAGTGTTAAAAACAAAACAAAGAAAATAAAACTAATAATTTTCAGATAAAAAAAATTAAAATACAAATTTTTGAAAATAAAATAAAATATTAAATACACAAAATTTTCAATAATTTTTTAAGAGCAACACTAAGCCGCAAGCGTTATAAACAGTGCACACACTCGCACATATAATATTCAAATGCACAATAATAAATCGTACAAGTGCTACTTTCACGCCTCTAGATGTGTTTGTGTAAATAAACTGCAGAGAATTTAAAAAATAATAACAAAAGCAGCAACAAACAAAGCCATTTGCAGAAAAATAAATACAGAACAATAGTAAACGGTTTGTAGCAAGTATAAACAGCAACAACAAATATATAAATTCTCTGACAAAAATACTCTCTCTCCTTAAGAAAACTTATCATCGCTTTTAAGCCTTCGGCAACTTGAGAAAAGCAACTCTACGAAAGAAGTTTATAAAGCACGACGTCGTGAAGAGAGTGAAACGCAACTTTTAAGAGCCGCTCATTTCGTTAGCGGTAGAATAAAGAATATAATACAATCTCTCTCTCTCTCTCTATCTCTCTCTCGCTCTAGAGCTAGTTCGCGAAATCCTTATACTAAGTGGACGCTAGTAAAAAAGAGAGGAAGCAATTAGGAAACAAAGTGTTATAATTACTAATAAAAGTGAGAGCAAAAAGTGCTAAATACTTTCACGATTGGAGGACATTAAATACGAATTGAGAGTGAAAGTAGAAGCGATTCAAGCGAAAAAAGTAAATTTTGGTTGGAGAAAAAATGGATTAATAAAAGTGAGAGAAAAAATTCAATATAATTTTTGTGAGAGCAGCAAGAACACAGGTAAACAAGCAATCACAAAGTCGCAGTAACTAAAGGAGAAACAACAAAAACCTGGCTAGCAAGTGCGAGAGCATAGCTTAGGATTTGCACATACTTGAACTCGCAGCTAGAAATTAACTAAGTCTGCACTTAGCGTGAGTGGGTGACCAATAAACAGTATAACAACAACAGCAACAACAACAACACTCCCTGTAAGCAAATCAACTTCAAACACAATGTCCGCCAACGAAGCTGGCGATGGAGCTGCTGAACTGACCAACGGTGTAACGGCGGCTAACGAGTCCGCAGCAACGCCGGCGCCGTCACCAGCAGCAGCCGCACAAACGTCATCACCGCCAGCGTCAGCAGCAACGGCTCCTCAGCAGCAGCAGCAGCAGCAGCCAGACGGAGCTATGGACAATGGCAACGCAACGGCTGAAATTAGTTCTGCTGCACAGTTCGAAGGTGGCGTTTCAAATAGTTACGGTGCGGTCAAACAGTTTAATGAAACAAATAGCAACAACAACGGCAACAACGTTAACTATACGTCAAAATCGAACGGCTATCACAACCAGCACAACGGCAACAACAACAGCAATCAATTTGATAATCCCGGCAGTAATCGAAGTAGTCCCCTAAAGAGTCCACAACAACAGCAACACTATCGCGGTGTAGGACGTGAGAGCAGCTTTCAACCGATATCCGTACAACAACATCATCTCTGTCAAACCGTACTCGACGATAGTGATAATGAGGATTACGAACTACAGGGCGCAGCTGGTGGTTTAGTGGGTGATTATTGGCAACAACGTAACGGTATTGTTGGCGCACCAGCAAGTGGTGGTCGACAGAGTCGTGCTCCGCCGCTAAGTCCCACTTACGTGGATAATATGTCGGAGAATTCGGAGCAACCACCAATGGTGCCACTCGTACGCTCCAAATCCCGGCCAGAGTTGTCATCCAATGCGCAACTGAATTCCGCAATGAGCGCCGCTAGTCGCTATAATAATCTTTCATACTGGAAAGCGCGTCGTGTGGTCTTCTATCGCAATGGTGATCCCTTCTTTCCGGGCGTGGAGCTGCGTTATCGTCCCGGACGTGATATCACCTCGTTGGATAGTTTGTTGGATAAGATCTCGCCGAAAATGGATTTGCCACGCGGCGCACGTTATGTCTTCTCAATGGACGGCGATCGCAAATATCATTTGGATGAGCTCGAAGATGGCGCTTCGTATGTGGTGTCGTCGTTTAAGGCGTTCAAGGTTAGTACAGAGATTATTTTTTCTTGCGTGTTTGTTTTATTGTGTATGTGTGTGTGTTTGGGTGTGTGTCTATGGTAACGGTATCGTAATGCGTGTGTGATGTTCTAAAGATAGTTTTCAAAAACCGCCGGATTGACCTCGTCATTTTGACTATTAACCTACAAATAATTCTCAGCTTTATACTACCACGAGCCTCATATCATACAGCGCGTGCCCCCAACACGCCGCTCTGACGCTCTGGCCAACATTTACCCTAGTCTTCCAGCACATGCCGTGCTCCGAGGGCATTTTTTTGCTTTGCATTGCAAATATTTGTGTTAATTAAAAAGAATTTAATGGCAGAAAATATATATGGAGCGTCCATTGTGTATATAAATATTGTAACTTTTCTTTATAACGGTTTATTTGTATGTAAGTAAGCGAACCCTAACTGGAGCAGTTCACGAAAATCACGAAATCGATAAAATTTGAATATTTTATAGTTGCTTTTTCTCTGCTTATTCTTACATCTCATCCTACCTCTGCTTGTACTTGGTAATTGTTTCACCTTCCACCCACCTCTTTCGTACATCACTCGCTTGACCGGTCCTGGTCGCATTCTCAGCTGAGCCATGCGTGGTAACAATGGCATTTCTTTTGCCATTTTCTGTTCTGCCGTAGTTTTTACTATTTTACATTGCTTTTGTTTTGACCACCGTTTACTACACGCCGAGCCTTCAGCAACCCCAGTAAGTGTACATGTGAGAGTTTCATTTCTTTTACTGCAATGGAATTACTCTTGCATGCCACCTTTAAAGTGAAGCCCTTGAAGTGAATTCCTGCGCTGGCATGCGGAGTGTGTACTGTGAGAAATTTAGTGTTGGCCTCTATGTTTCTTGGTCCTTTAAAGATAGGAAACTCTGGGACGAGTTCTTGATATAGGAAAATCGAAATTAACTCGATACCGAGTAGCCTGACCGTAAGCTTACACCTTGGATCTTAAGGATGCAGGAGAGTACATCTAGTGATTGGTGCTACGAGCAGTCTCGTGGGACTATTGCTTGCGCTACACAGATCCCTAGCATTGGCTCAAGGGGAAAGCTCGATTTCACTGCAGATGTGCAGACTACAACTTCTTCAGTTAGAGCGGCGTCGAGGTAGATGAGAACCAAAGATGACTTATGGCAAACATCAGGCCGATAGTGAGTCAATGTGGCTCTTCCGACGGGAATTGCGAAGGGAAAGGGAGAGCAACAATCGTCAGGTAGATCATAACCAAATTTTAATAGATCGGACAGTAAAAAACCGACTTCCTTTGTGCCCTATGTTTCTTACCGCACTTGCTATTACAACTTCTTCTTGATAGGGGAGCAAAACGTCTTTTTGGTCGTCGTCGTAGCATATTTTGGCAACTCCGAATATTTCACTTTTATCACAATTCTAGAAGCTAAAGAAATAGTCAATCCACAAACTCAATACACCTTGAATTTCGGTCTCCAAATCACTTCTTCAGATGCAATTTGAGATAAGCTCCGGTATTGAAACATCCTACAGATCCCCCACCTTCTAATAGCAACTTCGATCATTACCCAACTCGACTAACTTCTCAAGCTCTTCATACTCACACATTTGCGCAACTCAGTTTCTCTGCTTGAAAATATATTTCGCTTTTCTCTTCAGCTCTTGGTACCTCTGCGTGCAGTACGCATTGCGGTTGATTTTAATGTTTCGAGAATGGCAAGATTTCTCGCTTCACTTCGATTCTCCGATTCTCATTGCTCCAGCTCTTTTTTTTAAAGAAACCCATTCATTTCTTTGCCAGTTGGTTGCCCAAAATTCCATTCCACAGTCCTTTAAGCCCAGTTCGCTCGCGAGTACAAGTCGAGTAGACAACTGACTGACTCTCCGACACCGAGACTTCCTTGGATTGTTGTTGAAGGGCATCATTTGTTTCACAGAAGTGGATGTGTATCTTCGCTGTAATCAGATAGAATGATCTGAGTGGCTGTTAGGTACTGGATAAGAGTGCACATTTAGAGCACTGGAAACACTTTGTCCATCTAGAATAACATTAACCTCAGTCCGTTTCGCGACCTTACATAATAGGCTAAATTTCAAAGCCAACATAACTTCCCTTCTCACCCTGGTATTGGATATGCTTATAATGATTTTCATATCACACTGAGTGCGGCGACCATGGGTGCGCTCAAGGCGCTCATGGAAGGTATCATTGAACACATCGTCCTTCCTTTTCTACGGAGCGCAAGTCAGCGATGTGCTGAAGTACTACGCTTGTGATTTGTGGCAACAGGTTCATTCATCGGCAACCAGACAATGCGACGTACTCTTTTATGTAGTAGATTTCAAAAGTACCCAGCGTCTTCCGTCTATATGCCATCCATTAGACTTCTTGGAAGGCGATGATTTAGCCTTTAAACTTACGAAAAAATGATCCAGTTGGGCAGGAGCAAGCTCTTTATCAAATCATAGATATTCACTTAGGTGGGCTTGTTGTATCCTCCTCACAAAACTCAGTGCGCAATTTGTTACACAATTTTATAGGTATTCGCTTTTCTCAAGATCTACATCCGCTCCTTAGGCAAGAAGATGTTACGATATTACTTTAAGCAGTCTTGATCCGAGTTATGACGAGGTCGCTTAACTACAGTTCACTCACTTTACGTAATCCATAGCTCCAACCCTACTTACCTCGTCTTACGCTCGACTATTTCAAGGGTGTATATCTGGAACTAGTAACGCGAATATTGATATTTCGGACTTCTATAATCTTCGGACGAACTTTCTGATATTTTTCCTCGGTGTACTCTTACATTCCACCACCGTTACGCCAGAGTTCCTTTCAACTATGCAACTCGTTTTATGTTATGTTCTCATTTCACTTTTGTTTCTTAGTAGCTACTTACTTTAGCTGAGATTCTTCAAACCAACAAGCAATAAAAAGTAACTACTACCCGAGCTCATTTAACTCGAATAAGAAGAAGAAGCACAATAAAGAACACAACAAACCTTAAAACACAATACAACAAAATATGCCAATCAAAGAGTATGAAAACAAATCCAACTCGGTTTGAGGACAGAGTTCGCAATATTTGATTTAAGCGGGAGGCGAAGAGGCGAATAGACGCGGTTGTTCTACGCGTGTTGGCAAAGGGGTGGCGCAACAGAGTATACTTTACTTGCACTTCGAAGTAACTGCCGCAAATCGTAAAGTGTGGGTTATGGTAAGTGGCAAGTTGTAGGGGGTGAATGGCTAGTGTTGCTACTAAAGTCGCGCTCGGCGCGAGTGGGCATTGAAGTCGTAGAGTGTCGATAAGTGAGCGCCTGAGTAGTGTTAAGTTTAGCAAATACAACATTGTTCGGAATATGTGTAAGCAGAAATTGCTCTTTTATTGTAAAATGATATCCATGACGTGGTGGGTGAGGAAGTTAACTCGTATAGGGCACTTTTTTAGCCATAATATTATGCGAGTCGCACGCAAATCTCAAGCCATCTACGTAAATCAACGAGTTCGAATGCTTGACTTGCGCTAACTAAGTGGGTCACCAGCGCCATCATCATCATCATCATCATCATCACTACTTTATTATACGTTTCTGTAACGTAATTTATTACAATCGAACACAAGTCGGCAGAGCTCAAGTCAAACTCTGAAAACTCAATTCCTCTTCGGTCGCTTTACGTGTTGTGTGATGTGCGAAGTTGGCGTTGAAATTTGTAGTCAGTTTTAGTACTTTGTATTAGTTGTTTTAATTACGCGCTCTCTCTCTTTCTCTCTTACCCTCTATGTGTGTCTTACTCTCTTCCCTCTGTTAGTACTTTGCTGGTCGTTGGCGTAAAGTGTTGCTTTAGCCCTCTTTTGTTTCTTTGTTTTCCACTTTCTTTTTGTTCACATTTTGCCATTGCTCTGCCATTCATTGGTGATTTCATTTTCATTGGCCATAAAGTAATTATCGACTATTAGATTGTAAATTAAAATATTCTCATTACAACCTGTTGTTTTTTGATGGGGTTTTCTCAAATTTTCTAGTGCTGGTGCTTGAAAGTTTCGTTGCTAATTGGCATCGAAGGTACAGTGGGTGTGTATCAGAGAGCGTTTTGATTTTAGATTTTCCCTAATCCACGTGATTGGTCTCCTAGCCATATATGAGAGATATTTCTTGACTCTACTCTTGCGACAGTTGTCATTCCCTCCCAATGACTTTCGTCTCACTTTTTGTTAAAAATATTCCTGTCACAGAAATGCTTTTTTACCCGATCTTCCGAGCAGAGAAAATGAGTGGGAGACAAAGAGGGGCTGGAAGGTGTAAGGGTGAGAGTTGAGAGGTGAGAACGTGAGGTAACAGGAAGAGTACTAGAAATGTACTGACGACACTAAAATTAACTCTTAGTAGCTCCACAACGCGGAAGACAACTCAGAAAAAACACGGTGATGCTTTGGTGAGAGTAACTTATGACCACGGTAGATAATCGGTGGCATATTTCTTATGACTATCGGCTGATGACAGATAACAGATGGCTGATGATTGATGAGTACCTAATAATGACTGATGACATGACGAATGACTAACTAATAATGACTGATTGATTACTAGTGACTGCTGGCTGATGATTGATGACAGATTATATATACCAGATTGCCGCTTACAAATTTCAGATTACTGATGGCTAATGATAGATAGCAGATGACATCATCTATGGATGACTGAATATAGACAACAGTTAACAAGATACCAATGACAGATGACTTTGACTGATGACTGATGACTGATGAGATATTACAGATTGCTGATAAAGGATTACATATGACTGACAATAGATGACGAACGAACAATAATAACAATAATAATAATGGTAAGCTCAACAATACTCTACACCCGTCCTACCGACACGACAAGCGACATCCGCATAACGTGTAACTAATGACTTATCACAGATGACTGTCCATAGATTATATATGACAGATGATACAACTGACAAATGACTGATTAATGATCACTTTTGACATATGACAGATGACTAATCAGAGGATGACCGTGACGGCTATTGGAAGACTGATTAAAGATGAAAGCTGACTGATAGCTAAAGACGGAGTATTTATGATATATGACAGATGACTACTGACTGAATACGAATGATGGATGAATAATTACTCATTACTGAGATAACTGAAGATGGATTAATGAAAACCAGTGGGCCAAATAATGAATGGTAGTCATCGGCTATCAGTTCGAATACTGGCTAGATCAAACCTCTCGATCACCTTTGGAAGGGAGAGACAATTCCTCTAAGTATACTTTCGATGTAAAATACAGTAAACAAAAAAACAAAAACAAAAAGAAAAAAATACTCCAAGCGTTCGACGCCAGCTCAATTCGGAAAATACTTCAAAACACACAAAACCAGAGAAACTTAAGTGGTGGTAAAGCATTTCGTACTTAAAACTAACAATCAATGGCAAGTCCCAGTGGAAGCCTTGCACTTCAAATATGGATAAGGAGTAGTAAATCCATTCCACTGAAAGAACGATTTGAACATGCTCACTTTTTTATAATAGAAAAAGCATTTGGCCAGTTTGTGGCAGCACTCAGGAGAGCCATGACGAGCTTAATTAATATTTCTTCGCATTATTTTCCCAAACCGAAAGCTTGTTGTTTTTCTGATCATAACTGAGTAACGCTTAGCGGTGCACTTGGGCTAATTGTTAAAAGAGAAGAGCCTTGTTGGCATTTTGATCCAGTTTTTTTCATAACTGACCCACTGTACATCTCAGTTTACTTCATTATTTCTAATTCTACTCGTAACTTTTCTGCACGTGTATTACTAAAATATCATTTCAAGTTGAAGTTACACTCACATAAAAACAGCAACAACAGAAATGTAACAATAAGTGCTCCAGTATATGTACATACATAAATATATGCAAACGAAAGGATGACCACTTTTGGTACAAAACTGAGTAATAATGTAGTTACGAGCGAACGAGGGGTACAAAGTTAACACATAAATATTTTATAGAGAAAGTTCAATGTGTTTTTATTAGTGATATAAAGCAATACAGGGTGGTACAAGTAAAAAAAATGTGAAAATTTTAGGAAAATTTTCATTTTTGAAGAAGGGCTTAATTTTACATTATTTAATACAATATTCACATAACAGTCTCTTTGTAAAATTCAATTCAGCTCAATTCCATACCAAACAAATGATTATCGAAATTTAAGCGATTTAAAAGGACCGACCCAATAGTGCAATGAACTTTCGCTACAACCTTTTTGTTTTAATTTTATTGTGTCTATATAAAAAAGCACGTTCTTGGGGGGCCTATTGACCTGCCCAATCTACTTACCAAAACGATTGATTAAGGGATGTGTGAGAAGGGGCGGCGTCTTGTCTGCACCAAATGTCGCCGAGATCACGAGCTGTAATTTCAGCGGCAATTTTGCTTGTTTTCATACCCATTAAGCCAGAAATGGTCTTATCGCTGAACCAAATTTCTCTCGAAAATGTCGAGCTAAGCGATGCTGCTTGTAAATGTCAAGCGACATAAAATG